TACTCAGCGACGTTTTCCCGAGAAATATTGGCACGGCCGGTATATAAGGCATCACCAGTGCTGTCGTCTGCTACTAGTTAGCAAAATATCATTGATATGCATGAGAAACAGCGTTGGTGATAGCACGCAGCCTTGTGGAACACGAGCGTTGATAGGCTTGAAATCAGAGCATGCACCGTCTACTACGACCTTGATGATCCGATCAAACTGGTGATCCATTTGTACAATTTCTCGAGAAGCCCATAGGAAGGAAGCTTCGAAAGAAGCGCTTTGTGCCAGACCCGATCGAAGGCCTTCGCTATGTCCAAACTAACGGCCAATGCCTCCCCCTTGGACTCTACTGCCTCCGCCCATCTATGAGTCAGATAGACTAGAAGATCACCAGCTGATCGATCTCGACGAAAACCGTACTGGCGGTCACTAATCAGCTGGTGATCCTCAAGGTACCTCATGAGCTGGCAGTTTATAATGGATTCCATTATTTTGGAGAACAAGGAGGTGATGGGAATAGGCCTGTAGTTGGACGGGTCTCAGCGGTCGCACTTTTTAGGGATCGGGTGGACCAAAGCTCTCTTCCATGAATTCGGGACTACGCCTTGGGAGTAGGAGTATCGGAAGAGATGCGTTAAAACCGGTGCCAACTCCGGAGCACACGTCTTCAGCACAATGGGAGGGACTCCATCGGGCCCACTCGACTTGCTGACGTCCAGGGAGAAGAGTGCTTTGCGAACCGAGCGCTGTGTAAACCGCACATCCGGCATGGAGCACTCACATCGCGGGATAGTCGGCGGTGTGTTCCCCCCGTCATCTAGAGTCGAGTTGGACGCAAAAAGAGAGCTCAAAAGATCGGCTTTCTCCTTTGCGACATGGGCCAGTGAGTCGTTCTCCCTGTGCAGAGATGGAAGAGATGGCGGGTTCCCGAAGGAAGGCAAACTAGCTTCTCGCCAATTCTGCCGATGTGCTCAGACCTTGCCTTGGCAATGACGCTTTTGAAGGACCTGGAGGTGGAATTATACTTCTCTTTAAGTGCGCTGGTGTTTACATCCCGAGACGTTGATGCGTCAGCCCAGGCCCGATAGCACTCCTGCTTATAGCGTGATGCTATTTTAAAGAAGCGACCAAACCATAGCTGGGATCTGCCTCCGATTGGCACCACAGGGGATGGAATAAAAAGTTCCATACCCTGAAGTACCACGTCAGCAACAGAATCGGCAACAACGCTGGGATCTTCCGGCGAGAAGCAAACCCGCCCCCAAGGGTACGATGCAAAAAAATACCGCATCCCGTCCCAATCAGCTGACTTTATAGTGCCAAACACGGCGGCAAGCTGCAGATCGCAACTGCGATTGGAGCGTGAGTGGCACCGTACTCCGGATCAGACAATGGTCCGAAGAGGCCAGAGGGGCATCGACGGAGACCTGATATCCGTCCGGATGAGAGGTCAGCAGAAGGTCCAACAGGGAAGGTACACGGTCTTCCACATCTGGGATCCGCGTAGGCGAAGTAGCCAGTTGTGTTAGACCATATGCCAAAGCAAAGTCATAGACAGATCTACCCGCATGATCGGTTAAACGAGAACCAAGCCATTCAGCGTGGTGGGCGTTAAAATCACCGAGTATCACGATCTCTGCGGATGGGACCTGTTGCGGCACGGAGTCTGCAGCCATTTGGACGTGGTCGATGAGTCGGTCTGTGTCGGCATTACCGCTATGGGACCTATAGAGGCACCCGTAGACGCGGGGCTGGTCGTCGTTGTCTACGCGCAGCCATAGGATGGACAGGTCCGTACCTTCAAGACTGCCGAGGCGTCGAAAACAGATGTCCTCTCTGACTTATACGCAAACTCCAGCCCGGGGCACAAAGGAGTGTTCCAATTTGTACCCCGGGTAGGAGAGATATGAAGTATCGGCCGGAGAGGACACCTGAGTCTCGGTTAAAAAGAACAAGGCCGACTTCGCCGTCTCTAGATGGTAATGGATAGCGTTAAGGTTGGAATGAAGTCCCCTGATGTTGCAAAAATTCACGGATAGCGTGACAGGGGTCGCCTTGGTTGTATTGCTCCGCTTGCCCCGAGCAGCATTAGTCACGTGCGGAATTTTGCCACCCCCCCCCCCCCCCCCCAGAATACGCAGGGCAGCCTGAGCACCCACGCTTAGGAGTGAAGTAGTGTTAGTAGAAGTTTGGTCGTGGATGCTCAGGGAGGGATTCTCCAGGGGTGCTGGTACCCTCCTGGGGCAGTCTTCAAGGCAAGAGTGAATAGGCTATTGTTAAGTCAGGCCTCTTCATAATCTTGGCTACATCGTCACCTACCATCAGGTGGGATTGTAGTTAAGCGCTGGCTTAGAATAATTAAAAAGAAAACCGGCCAAGTGCGAGTCGAACTCGCGCACTGGGGGTTCCGAACTAATCCGTAGGTATATAAGTTTAAAATTATTAAAAATATTTTTATTATATGATGTAACTAAAAATTTATGCTTTTCGCAATTTTTCCTTTATCTGTGCTATAAAACGTAGTTTCGTACCAAATTTCAAGATTCTGAGTTCACGGGAAGTACTCAGTAGGTTTCGATTCCTTTGCGAATGTCGAAAATTTGCAGCATAAACGGCTGTATCTTTTGATTGCATTTGAATATCAAAGCATTGAATATCAAACTTCTAGGCCAACGCCTAGAAGTATGATATTTTCACAGCTCTAAGGGACAGTAGACCTAAGTATTTGATATGAATATCAGCTTGATACCTCCACGCGTTCTTGGGTTCCTGGGTCTTGACAGACTATCAAACAGACAGACGGACAACAAAGTGATCCTATAAGGGTTCCGTTTTTTCCTTTTGAGGTACGGAACCCTAAAAATATTCTATTCTTGGCAGATGATTTGGCTGCCGCAGTTTCTTCTTTTTTTAACTGTCATCAAGAAGATGCTACTGCCCATCTCCTGTTTAACTTCCCTTTGCCGTCTCTTATGACACCTTCTGCATGACAAGAGGTAGTAGAATTCCTTACTACACCACTACGCGACCATTAGTGCGTGATGCAACTACATTCGTGTTTTTCACACAACATATGGTGTGTTACCTAATTTATTAATGCTTTTTGCAATAGATTTCATTACAAGATTAGTCTTTGTTGTGTCGAACTTATTTGTGTTATAAATTTAAAAAAAAGGCTTACTGCATAAAATAATTTATTAGATCATGCTTATGAAAGTAACACCTCTTTGCATGTTAAGCGATAATGAGATTTTCAGTGGTAGTTTATAATACAAATAAATTTTAAGTAAAAGAGGTGTGGTTGCTCAGATGATACCGATAGGCACACGCCTTAAAGTTTAATAAGTACGCGAGCTGCGTAAACAAATTAAGTAAGATTCCCTATGTCACTAATGAAATTGTTAATTGCAAATTTAAATGCTGATTTACCATGTGCTCGGCGGTAAGCAAAAACATCTTTAGGAACGTGCAAAGTCTGATAACTCAAACTATTTTGAACATTTGAAGTTTGCCAACACGATCACGATCACATGGATGTGGAGAGAGGTGTATCATTATCATCATCATCATCATCATCATCGGTATTTAATATTTTATGTTGTTATCAGGAAGATTCTGCTGCCCATCTCCTGTTCCATTTCCCTGTGTCGCCTCTCACGGGGATGTTAAGGAGTGGTGGATTTCCTTACAATATGGCGGACTCCTTATGCTCCTAAAACTCCCTCAGAAATAAATCTCTTTTCTCTCTTTTAGAATTACGAATTATTTAAATTAAAAATGTATATCTAAGTTTTCTAATTTATAATAAGTAATTACTACACCATAACACAAGTAGTTACTACACCACCTGGTCACCTATTCAATGAGTCACAAATACGTCAAGAAATGCTTTCGTTAAGGACCATCCAATGACTGTAATGAGAGCATTGAAGAGCTAATTAATTCCGATATCTATAAATTTTATTTGAAATATTATAAAATGCTGTTTAACCTGTTATTGGAAGGAAAATGAACATAGATGATGACACTATTTTATTTTTTAATAATATATAATTAATCAGCACGCATCAAAATAACGTTTCTTATTATTCTTTCTCATTGCTCTCTCTGTAGTGAGCCTGTGCTAATTAGTAGGACGTTTATTGAACAACTTTCCTTTAGTTTTTCTTTAATGATTACAAACACACTAGTACTGCACTAAAACACACAAATAAAAACATTTGTATGGTACTTTTACGTATTTATCAACCAATATTACTCTCCGTCAAGGTCTCCGTTTGAATGCTAATAAAACTAAGGTTCTGGTATTTGAAAGGGACGAAGAGAGAACGAAGTGTGAAATATGGGTAAATCAGGAATGTCTAGAACAGGTAAATGAAATTGTATACTTGGGGAGTGCTTTTAGCCGGGATGGAAGATGTGATTTAGATGTGGACAGGCGTGTCGCTGCCGGGAACAAAGTCAATGGTGCCCTGACTGCGTTAGTCAAAAGGCAAGGCGTAGCGAAGAGTGCACGCCTTGCAATACATAACGCAGTGTTGGTACCGACTTTGTTATATGGCAGCGAAACCTGGGTATGCCAGAAGAAGCATAAAAGTAAGTTGAATGCAGTGGAGATGCGATCTCTTCGTAAAATGTGCGGCGTTACCATGGCCGACCGAAAGCGAAACGAAGAGATTCGCAATTTGGCAGGTTTGAAAGATGACCTTATCACAAAAATTGATAAGGGCGTGCTTCGGTGGTTACCCTGTTTAGATTACATAAAATTAATACATGAACTTAAATCGCGAATCACATACACTACTTTTACTGCAATATTTTTATTTTCACTACATATTTATTAATTACATTTGAATTTATAAACATATTTATTTGCCCATTCCTTATAAGTAATAAGCGTGTAATTTTCAGAATTGCACCAATTATCTTTTTTTTTAAATACTAGTAATCCTATTAAACATTACTAATATTCCCTTAAAACCACTTCTGGTAAACTTAAAATGCTTGTGTTAGAAGTGGTTCATGACAGTAGTCGAATGGCAGATTCGAACCCTCGAACTTTCGAGTTCGCAGCCCTGCCATTAGGCTACTGTCGCTTATATTAAGAGTAGCCTTAACAACAAGTGTTTCCATTGTGGTGGTGGTTTAAAAGATTGGGAAGATGATGATGATCCTTGGCAGCAGCATGTTCAGTGGTTTAGTCAGTGTGCTTATGTAAAATTTCAACTCGAACAGTGTTTTGTATTAGATTAAATAGAAGATTTATAAAGAAATAAAAAAAAAATATATTGCATACAATTCGTTTTATTTAATTTTATAACGTTTCACATAGTTACATACACACAAAATGCATTACACATAACACATAAAATCTAACACACAACACATATTATAACCTTAACTACTATAGTCTACAGTAACATTTCTGTTTTTATCTATCTCAATAATATTATCAAACTCAGCATAAACTATACAGTTAATTGTTTGTATTAATGAGGATTCAAATCGTACTTCTATTCTTACACTACCATGCTTTATGAGATTCCAATGAGTTGATGAGTTAGCTGATAAATCAGGAGTTAAGTCAAATGCTAATAGACAGTAACCTTTGCCATACTGTTCACAAGAGATTCCATTTCCTTCATTAAGAAAGTGAATACCAGTTCCCGAGAATAGAGTATGATATGCAGATGTAAATATGCTATTATTAAAAGATGGTTGCAAAGCTTTTGAAGGTATTTGTTGACCATCAATATATAAGCTGAAAGAATTAATACCATAGTTTTCAAAGTTAAATGGATTTTTAGTAAGGGAACCATTAAATGCAGAATTGTTCACAAATCCAATTATACATCTTTTCGGTACCTGTCCTAAAAATATATTATCAAGAGTTTTTCCTTGAACACCCGAAGGAATTGTTAAAACTTTTACTTCAGCTCGAGTAATAGGATATTTAGCAGTGGTAGAAGCTAAAACTTTTTGATGTGCGAGTAATACACTTGGATTAATTCGTGCTCGTCGAACAATAAGAGTTGCGTCCGTAATGCAAACTTTAAACTTTACATCGTTTGACCCAACAATTAAATTAAAACTCTCTCTTGATCGAACCAATTTAACACTCATTTCAACACCATTAATTAAAAATTTATCTTGGTTAAAAATGTCACCGTGAAGATGACCAATCATTTCTATTTCCTTACTTTCACTAATCAATTCCTGTCTTTTAACAAATCCTATGTTTTTACCATCTGTAGAATCCATTTTTCCTGCTGAATCCTCATACCAAAGACTACAAGTAAGATGAGATTGTTTAGCAGCAGGGGCATAGTTTAAAAGGGTTTCCATGTATGCTCGATATCCATAGGTATTATTAGGTGGTGATACAAGTTTTTGGTTTAAATAAACATCAAGTTGACTAAAAAGTGAATGCAGCCAATTATTTACAGGTGCTACTATTGTAGTAGATACCAAGTTAGTTGAATCTTGATTTAATACTTTTGCCTTTATGCCACTTGGATTAATTCGTGCTCGTCGAATATATCATATATTTACAAATGATTTTTACACTGATATAAAACCTGACCTTTCATCATACTTTGATACCTCAGATTATGATACAAATAATATTTTTGAATATCCAAAATTAAATAAAAAGAAATTAGGTTTTTTTAAAGATGAAAATAATGGTAAAATCATGAAAGAATTTGTGGGTTTACGATCCAAAATGTACGCTTTTAACTTTGAGAATAAGACTATAGCCAAGGCAAAAGGGGTAAATAAATGTATCACTAAAAAGATGACAATGAATAGTTATAAGTCTTCTCTATTTAATAAAAAAGTGCAATATTATAGTATGCTTAGATTTAAATCAATTAAACACACAATTTTCACACAAAAATTAAATAAGATAGGTTTATCATATAATGACACAAAGAGACATATTTTAGATAATAATATTGAAACATTAGCTTGGGGTCATTATAAACTGCGTTAAGTGTTGATAGTTTTTACTTTTATGTCTGCGTTTAAGAAAAATTTATATTGATTGTAAAATTATGATAATACTATAATATGACGTAGTTTATTACATATTTAATCATTGTTTTATTGTAAATAATTTAAGTTAATTGTTGTTTCTATTTATTTGAGGTTGAGTTAATTGTAAAATTATGATGTACTAATTGTTGTTTCTATTTATTTGAGGTTGAGTTAATTGTAAAATTATGATGTACTAATTGTGTTAGAAATAGTATACAGATAATTCTGTTTTATATAATTTTTGGAATATATATTAATTGTTTACACCAACACTTTCATTTTTTATTTCACCCCTTTGAACTTTAGACGTGTGTTATGTTTCATTTTATCCATCCGTTCACTGCTATTGTGGCAGGAGCAAGTGGGTGTGGGAAGTCAAATTTTGTAACAAATTTCATAAAATCAGTTACAGAAATATGTAATTGTGATTTTAATCAGATCACATGGTGCTTTGATGAAATGCAACCATTATATAATTTACCAAATGTTAACTATCATCAAGGAATTCCAAATCTTAATATGTTTGATGGTGAAAACCCACATCTTGTTATTATTGATGATCTAATGAGAGAGTCCCATGGAAGAATTGTGGATATATTTACAAAAGGTAGTCATCACAGGAATCTTAGTGTATTTTATCTAACACAAAATTTATTTCATCAGGGTAAAGGACAAAGAGACATATCTTTAAACTCAAGTTATATAATATATTTTAAAAACCCTCGAGATAAAACTCAAATAAGATATTTAGCAAGACAAGTATCACCAGATAACCCAAAATTCATTGAAGATGCCTACAGGGATGCAACTCTAGAGGCGCATGGATATTTAATGGTAGATTTAAAACAGAATACCAATGATTTTTGTCGTATCAAGACAAATGTCTTTCCATTTAATGGTTTCTGTACAGTCTACGTCCCCACAAAAGAGTTTAAATACACCAAGAATCAAACAATTGAAATCATTGCTAAATGATGCATCGTCGACTCACAACGTATAAACATTTGCTAACCGCTTTGCATACGCTTAAACCAAAATATCAAAGAGCATTACTTAAAACGTGTGATGAAGAAGAAATTAACTGTATTTGTGAGTGTATTCATAACGTTTTACAAGGAAAAGTACATCTTAAAGATCAGGATAAACAAAAATTGAATAAACATAAAAACATACTCCGTAAACTAGTACGTAAGTGTAAACATAAACTAAGAAAAAATATAATTATACAAAAAGGAGGGGCTTTCTTACCAACAATATTAGGTGCAATATTGAGTGGATTAGTGAGTGGACTAGCCAGTTAACATGGAAAATGCAAAGAAAATGATACTTATCGAACCTGTATTGATTGAAAAATTAAAACAAGAAAATAAGGTTAATAGTAATTTATCTCGATTAGATATTGAAATGCAAAATATTATGAATAGTAAGACGGAAGACCGAAAGAAATGGATATTATATTTACAAACACTGCAAAGATACCTTCATTTTACCGAAGAGGATCGTCAACCACTCAAATTACCAATTTATTCTGATACATCTAATGAAGATTCAAATGAGTCAAAAATTGGTTTTAAAAATAAAGATAGAGATCTAAAAACTTCAGTTGATATTGAATCTTTGCTGGAGGAGAATCGATCCATTAAAAGTAAAGAAAATGATGAAAATCCACTTTACACACCAGCTCAAATACTCAGTTTAATACCAAAAACTTATCATAAAAAAGGGCAGTTATTATTAAACTTAGTTGAAACAAGTAAAAGTAAAATACATTGGGATAATGAAGGTACAGTCATAATTGATAGTGAAAAAATTCCTGGAAGTAATATTGTTGATTTAATAAATGATTCACTAAGACCCCTAAAAAGAAGTGATCCGGTAGGGTGGGTTAGATTTCCAGAAGCGTTAAAAGATATTAAAGTACCACTTACTTATATTGGAAATCCAAGGAGATGTGAGTTTATTAACCAACTTCAAGCAAAAGATCTGAACAAACCTTCTGAGATTGAAGTTCAAGAGTTTTCTACACCGGGCAGTAGAGATAAAAAGTCTACAACTAAAATACGTAAAGGACTTGAGTGGGAAAAATGGACCCCGTACTAGAAGAAATTAACAGGATTTATTATGATCGATCTAATCCCGCTGGTTTTGGTAGTATTGATAAATTATCAAAAGCCATGAAGGGTAAAATGAATAAAAAGCAAGTAAAGGAATGGTTAAAATCACAAGAAACATACACATTACATAAACCCATTCGAAAAAAATTCCCGCGTAATAGGTACATTCTATCAAATATTAATGAACTGTGGCAAGCTGATTTAAGTGATATGCGAACTTATTCTCAATATAATGATGGTTTCAAGTATATACTTTGTGTTATTGATGTATTTAGTAAATATGCTTTTGCAAGACCAATGAAAAAGAAAAACTCAGAAACAACTAAAGAATGTTTTGAAAGTATATTTACTGAAAGTAATTTAACACCTACTCACAATATACAATCCGATAAAGGTACAGAATTTGTTTCAAAAGATGTACAAAAATACTTTAAATTCAAAAAGATTAATTACTATACCACTAACAATCCTGACATTAAGGCCAGTATTGTTGAACGATTTCAAAGAACACTAAAAATGAAAATGTGGCGTTATTTCACTCATAATAATACTTATAGATATATAGATGTTTTACAAGATTTAATATACTCTTATAATCACAGCTTTCACTCTAGTATTAAGATGTGCCCATGTGATGTAAATTCCAACAATATTATGACAGTTTGGACTAATCTTTATGATAGACGGTCAAAAAAACTTTCTTAAGAAAATCCTAAACCAAATTTCAATGTGGGTGATTATGTTCGAATAACTAAATATAAACACGTATTTCAAAAAGGATATGAATCAAATTGGAGTGATGAAATATTTATTATATCTTCAATAATTGATAGATCTCCATGGGTTGTTTATACAATAACAGATTTACAAAATGAACCAATAATTGGTACTTTTTATGAAAGAGAATTACAGAAAATCACTTACAACCCCACCTCACAACATAAAATAGATAAAATAATTGACACTCGTTATTCAGGTAACAGAAAAGAAGTATTAGTGAAGTGGAAAGGTTATCCAGATAAATTTAACAGTTGGATTTTAGCTTCTAGTTTAAAAGAAATATGAATAAAGAAAGTTTCTATTTAACTTTTCTCAGCAATAGTTCAATGGAATACTTTCCTGATAACAAGACCACAAATTTTTCAACGAAATTACCAAAAGCTATAAAATTAGAAGGTGAATGGTCGGTTGGAGTTGTCGAGTTTCAATATCCATGTACCATGTTTACTGTTCAAGACCATGAAAATGTTATATACATTACAAAATCTATGTTAATGCCTAATGAAGATAAACCATCCACAGTGTACTACAAAAAACATATTCCAGCTACCAACTATGATAACGTTGAGCATATTTTAAGAGTGTTAAATGGTATCGGAGAGAACTTGAAATTTCGCTATGATGAAATAACAAAATTTGTGTCTATTTCGGTATTGGATAAAAATATAACATCCGTAACATTATCACCCAAATTAAGTTTACAGCTAGGTTATGAACCAAATAAAAATCTCCTAGAGAGAAATTTTGGAAAGTGTCCTGCTAATTTACACTTAGGGTTACCATCTCAACTATTTCTATATTGCGACATTATCGATCCTCAGATTGTGGGTGATGTTATGACTCCTTTATTAAGAGTCATTTCATTAGATCCTACAAAATACATTTATGGTGCAAATAAAATGCACGTTTTCTCTCAACCTCACTACTTACCTGTTATGCGAAGAGAGTTCGATACGCTGGAAATAGTTATAAGATCGAGTACAGGACAAAAAATACCATTCCAGTTTGGAACCGTGTGTATTAAACTACATTTCCGAAAATTATAATAATGAATTCTCTTCGTGATCATCATAAATGTCCATATGAAAATTATTATACACATCAAGCTGGATCAGGAGTTGGAGTAATTTATAAGGGTTCACCATATCGACGCGGTCATGGTATTGGGAGCTTCTTAGGGGGGTTATTCAGATCAGTTTTACCTTTACTTTCAAGTGGTGCTCGAGTGATTGGTAAGGAGGCATTAAGCGCTGGAGTAGGACTTTTATCGGATATGGTTCAAGCCCGTCCTATGGAAGCCTCAATAAAAGATCGTCTAAAGCAAGTTAG